CATAGAGAATCAACAGACATGGAAAAGACAGGTAACCGACAATGACACTCAGCGCCAACTCCCACTTAATATCTGGATTCTTTGATCTTCATCATAGATTACTGACAGGGAATGTAAGTGGTGAGCGTCTGAGAGACGCATAATATGAATCAGTGGGAGATTAGCTCTACGGACTGTGAATCGCTCCTTCCACAGCGCATATTATCAATCAATCAATCAATGGTCGACAAGCGGCGAGAAGAACGAACGGTCATCCATCTGTCAGTCCATGATGATGAACGGACTTTGAACTGTGGATGACGATCAATGGGTGGACACTGCATTATGGGCTTCGCTCCAGTACTCTCGAAATGTGCAAACGAGAGGGAATCTTCCGCTAGAACATGGAAAGATACACCGTAATGATTTTTGTCTTTTGTGCATGTCCAGAGTAGTGGAGCGAGGCCCTATGATTCATTGGGGCTCGCCACACCAGTGGCGAAAACCGTTCTTTTTCACCACCTGTCAGACATTTTTCGCCATACGGTTTTTCGCCAGAACCCCCCCCTTCGCCACACAGCACTGTAGAATGGACGCACTTGTGAATGAAAGATGGAAAAAGACGAGCGCCCCTGAGGCTAGGACAAGCACTAGTCCATCCCGACCTCAGGCCCATTCGCCAATTTCGAAGAGAAGTCGCCGGCGCAGCCGAGGACTGTCGAAAACTTCGGAGTAGCAGGCTGGGGGCTCAAGAAATTTCGACAACAGGTGTCGAGAAGCATTATCTGACAACTTGCGAATTTTCTTCCCGTCTCCAATTTCGACACCCTGTGTGGCGAAGAGAAATTATCGAAAATCGTGGTTTCGACACTGGTGTGGCGAGGCCCATTGATTCCCATAAATGGTTGATTGGCATTAAATGTGGGGGTAATTGCAGAAATATCGCATTTTTGAAGTTTCGCAACAGAAATGTTGTAAGGGTGAAACTACGAGGATCTCAAAAGCTTCAACGAAAGATATATATTTTTGCAACGAAACTTGGGCCCGGCCAATATTTTGCTGTGAAACTACCGCGAGTCCGTGACGCCCTATTTTTTAAACTTACCCTACAATGTGATAGAGGAGAATGCATTCCCCCCCCCCCCCCCCCCTTCCTTTTCATAAAGGGTTCAAAGTCTCTCCCAGTGACCTTGCTTTGTACTGTAGAGTAGAGTAGTAGTAGAGATAGACTCTCCATGCAATAGATCGACAAAGCTTAGTGTAAAAACACTTCAAGCCAATGAAGTAAAAGAAGGAAAGTTAAGGAAGAAGATGAAGAGAAAGGAGTTAAGACATGAATAATCCCCCGAGCGAATCTTTCGAAAAAATATTGCAATGAAAGCTCAAGAAAAGTAGGCGGCAAAACCGCCATAACCATGAAGTACACTGGCTTCTCTCAAGACCGTTGCTGTTTTCAAAGAGCCCACAAGTTTCTAAGAAAGGATTTTGAGTGTTGCATCTGACCTCAACGACGGTGCAAGGAAGATGAGCAATAGCAAATTCCAGAAACCAAACAGCATCATACACATGAGAGACCAGAAAGTCTTGACCTCGAACCAAAAGCAGAATTGCATCACGAGTTCCACCAAATAAGAGCACAGCAAAAGCTCACAAGTGACAATGTGCGAAAAGTCCCACCATCATCAACAATGAATTATGAACCAATGTCGATATCCTATCTGGCGCTCGGCGCCCAAACTACAGATGGCAGATCCTATCTAGCCTACTGTCTATAATGCCGCTGGTGACATCAACAGCTCCCCGAAGTACGAGCAGATTTCGGCCAATGCCGTTTGCCTCAAGCACCAGGTATGTCTTTCGTATCACTCACAACCTCGTTCCCCAACTCACAGATGCCACATGCACCCAAGGACCACCATGCACCCCTCCAGCATACAGCAGTGCAGCTCGGCTATGGCTACCTGCTCCTTCCAGCTTGCCCATGATTGCGTGAGCACTGGCCAGTGTTTAGCGCAGCATGCAGCCAGTGCCCGAATGTCCAATGTGGAGGCAGGCCCTTTCCTAAATGGAATTGGCCTGCCTGCTGCTGCGGCCAGGCTGCGCTGGGCCCTCACTCCGGAAGCTTCCGGTAGGCCCGAGAGGCTGGGCCTCTATCCTCCACAACAGGCCCAGGGCCTGAGTTGGTTGCCCGTGCCCAACTGCCCACAGCCTGTGTTTGGTCCGTATACGCATCTGGCCCAGGGCACACTTTCAGATACATTTGCAAAATGGACGCCTGGACCTGGGTGCTTGTAAGCAACTGACGCCGCGCAACTGTCTGAATTTCCCCAGTTGCGTGGAGGCCTGAAAAAGGGGCCCAAAGGCCCTGGTCGAGCCTGCCTTCACTTAGGGCGGCCGACAACACTGCAAACAGGGCCAAAGGGGCTCATCGGGGCCTTAGGCCTCGCAACGGGCAGAATCCGTGCTGAAAGCAGTCGTATGTGAAAACGCCTCAGTGCTGGAAGGGAAAAGTTTTAAAACGTCCCCGCGAAGAAACCTTAGTATTCTCTTCCCCGCACATAGGGCAAAACGTGTCACAGACCCCAAAATGACTAGTGTTGTCATTTTTGCACCCTGGCTGGGCCGGGCAAAAAGTGTCACAGACCCCAAAATGACGAGTGTTGTCATTTTTGCACCCTGGCTCGGCCGGTGGCGCCCGCCGTGCAAAAATGGCGGGAAAGTGTTTTACAAGATGCAAAAATGATGCCAACAGTCATGTTGGGGCCTGCGGCACTTTTTGCCCCGGTTGTGGAGAAACGAATACATAGTTTTCATCGCGGGGAGGTTTTATTATTTTTCCCGTGCTGGATAGTTTTCATCGCGGGGAGGTTTTATTATTTTTCCCGTGCTGGAAAAGGCCTGGCCGCCTTCCGTGAGGGCGGGGCTGCGAATATGTGCCAAGGCCCAAGGCCACGGAAGGCAGGGCTGCGAATATGTGCCAAGGCCCAAGGCCACGGAAGGCAGGGCTGCGAATATGTGCCAAGGCCCAAGGCCTAAGTACAGGCCAGTGTGATCACGCTGAAGGGCTATTGAAATCTATACGCCGGCCTGAATCTTCGACGTGGCCTCTTTGTGAGTGTGAGGGCTGAACCCTCACATACTAGCCCTTTGACGGGCCCACACACAGACTGTGCAGAGGGGACCCAGCAGGCCACGCGCCCGCCTGGCCTGGAAATCCAGGTGAGGCCTATTTTCGCCATTTCTGCATTGGGTACCAGACAGTTGGAGTCCACCAGTTGGTGACAGAGCAACGTGAGCCTTTCCTGGCTCTTTCCGGAAACACTAGCTGCCACGGGTAGTTGAGCCCAGGCACATTTGCGACGGGTAGTTGAGCCCAGGGCACATCCGGTTGGGGCCCTGGGAGCGTGCATCCAGAGGCCGACACATCACACAACGGCGGCTGGCCAACGTGAATGCAGCTCCCTTGTTACACACTTGCAGCAAGCCAATGAAATTCCAGCGAACACTTGGAGCTTCGTAAGCTACCTGGTGCCTAGCTGCACGGGGCCCAGGCCAGTATCTGAAACTGCGCCTGGGTGCAGATACTGGGGCCCAACTGGAAGCTGCTGGAAACTCGCCCAGCCAGGCCCAAGGCACGACAAGCAGGGCTCATGTTCCATAAAGGAAAAAAAGTGAGCACTCCAGCCGCTGCTGCATTGCATTGCCGAGCGAAATGTCGGGGACACTCGCTTCAGCCAGCGTGAGCAAGGGCGCTAAGAGGAGAGGGGTGCTGCTGAGGCAGCGGGCGCACGGCGGCCATAGCCGGGCTGCTGGGGGCAGAGAGGGTGACGGCGGTGGTGGTCTTCGGGTGTCGGGGATGCACACTGTGGGAAGACGAGGGGTGAGGTGAGAGGAGAGAGACACGTACCTGGTGTATGTTGGCCGTCTGCACGAGCGACGTCGTCACGTACATTGGTCTTCAGCATCGAAGTGACTCCTGTTGCATGAAAGCAGATAGGCTGGATAGGCTGAGCGCTGAGCGCCAATCGAGAAGAGTGACATCGGGTAGTACTATGTTGTTGTGGCGAGAGTGTATCAACATTCCGGGGTTGGAGTGCCAATCGAGAAGAGTTGCCTTTCCGAAGCGTGTCTACTGTCTTTGTTGTGCGCGCGGGGTGCTTTCGTTTGCCGATTGGAAACTCGTTTCTGAAGTGGCCGTCTTTGCTCCCCCTTTCTTCCTTCACAAGTGCAACGCCCTTGCGAAAGGATCATTCAACAGACTGCCTCCAATCGGATTTGATTTGAGCTTCGGTCTGTATCTCATCAGTTAATAGGTGTAGGAATTGAGATAGGGCCGTTGATCTACTGACTGAGTTCCATGCGTGTTTTCGATACATACGTATATATAGGGGGAGACCAGTCTGGTGAGACTCCTAAAAGTCTCTCCCGTACACTGCTTCCATGTGGTATTCTTCCTGAATTGTCTTTCTTGTTTTTAAAATAATAATTTGTAACTGTTTCTGGACATGCGGCTGTCGCGGCCGTTTGGGCCTGTCTGGGCTTCAATATGGCACTAATGACTTCTTGCCTGAATGTGTGGCTTATGCAAAGAGCTATGGGGACTCAGATTGTGCACAGCATACGAATGGCTCTCCCATTTCTTAACTTCCCCTTGGAGAATGTCTGCTCGAGGAACGTGTGCTTGCACACGAGGGCCAAAACATGACATCTCAAGGATGGAAGGGGATGGCCTCTGCATTCGACGCAACTCGGCAGCCGAGCAGACGAGCCGAGACAGCTAGTGGGCGGGCGGGCCGGGGGCGGGGGGAGGGAGAGAGGGCGGGAGGGAGAGAGAGAGAGAGAGAGAGAGAGAGAGAGAGAGAGAGAGAGAGTAGAAGGCAACTCTTCTGTAATTTTTATTTATTTTCTTATTGTTTTTTTGTGCGTCTGAGATTTGCCTTTTGACAGTTTATCCCGTGGGCAGGACTCACAGGAGCGCTAAGTGTGAAGGTGTCAGGCGATCCAGGTGCTTAGAGCGGCGAGAGTATATTGTCCCCTACCTACTCCCGCAGTTTGAAGAAGAGAGCAAAAAATACAATAGAATGGCAGGAGATCCTGTCATTGGCATAGATCTCGGCACCTCCTACTGCTGCGTTGCCGTCTTTTTCAACCAGGACAAGATCGAGATTGTTCAAAATGAACTGGGGGCCAGAATTACCCCCTCCTACGTGGCATTCTCTGGAAAGGACGGCTGTCTGGTGGGGGAGGCTGCGAAGCGACACGGCATGAAGTATCCGAAGCAGTGCGTCTTCGAGGTGAAGAGGCTGATGGGCCGATCATTTCACGACGCAACCGTGCAGCGGGACGCACAGACATGGCCTTTCAAATTGTCATCCGGTCCGCTTGGCCAAGTTCTTGTCCATGTTGGTGAGACTGAAGTCTTACCTGAAGAAATTTCCGCCTGTTTGTTGAGGAAGATGAAGTCCATCGCCGAGGACTACACCGATTGCCATCCCATTAGGGATGCGGTCATCAGTGTTCCTGCGTACTTCAATTACCGCCAGAGGAAGGCCACTATGGCTGCCGCGATTGATGCAAAATTAAACGTGCTGCGGCTGATGAGCGAGCCTACGGCCGCTGCACTGGCGTATGCTCATCAGCGGTTAAGAGGGAGTGGGAGCATGGAGAAGAAGGTCATGGTGTTCGACATGGGTGGGGGAACCTTTGATGTGTCTATAGTGACCATGAAGGCAGGACAGCATGGGGAGTGGAGCTTCGTAGTAAACGCAGTGGCCGGGGATTCTCATCTCGGAGGCTCTGACATAGACAAGCGGCTGATTCAGCATGCAGAGGAGCAGTTCAGGGGTCAGCATCAGGCCAAAAGCATGTCCAAGTATGCCGCGAAGCTGTTCAAGCGGCAGCAGGGTCACAGGAAAGATTTCTTGCTGGGCGATCCTAGGATTCTCCGAAAGCTTAATCAGGCCGCCGTGGAGGCCAAGCATGATCTCTCCGTCAAAACCGACGCGGAGATCCTCTTGGATTGCCGTGAAAATATCTTCAACTTGAGATTGGACCGAGTCGAGTTCGAGAGACTCAACCAACGGCTGTTTCGCAGGTGCATGACGATCGTCAGACAAGCTCTTTGTGATGCCAAGATGAGCAAGAGTGATATCTCCGACGTGCTTCTGGCGGGTGGATCCACAAGGATCCCAAAATTGCAAGAGATGCTGACGGCATTCTTCGGCAAGCCGCCCATCAAGTCTGTAAGCCCCGACGAGGCTGTGGCATTTGGAGCTGCAGTAATGGCGGGACAGCTGGCCAGAAGGGACAAGTGCAAAGAGGCACCCACCATATCCGTACGCGATGTCACATCTGTGAGTATAGGAGTCTGCGGTAGGTTTGGCATTATGAAGGTCGTTGTGCCAAGAAACTCTCCCCTTCCTGCCGATGGAGAAGTAGGGTGTGTTTTATATGATAACCAGGAGTCAATGGAGTTCCCGTTGTATGAAGGCGAGCGTGCGCTCTGCGTAAATAACTTGTTGCTGGGGGAACTCTCTCTGGACGGTTTCACCCGCGGTCCAGCCACCGCAGATAGGTCCATGCGAGTCGTGATCAAAATAGATGCTAATGGGATTCTCCATGCGATGGCAGAGGCGATTGCTAATCATAAGGACATTGGGAGAAAGGTGGAAACCACCGTTACACTCGGTAAGGATGCTGTACGCAGTGTGCAGCCTTCGGATGCCGTGGAGGAAACTGATTGGTACACGCCGGAAGCAAAAGCGGAGGACGCCAGGATCTGGGCGGCAGACAGATCGATGCATAGGTTGCGGGACCCGATCCTAGCGTTGCGAGAGCAGCTTCGGCGGTGTAACAAGTGCCACGCTTGTCTAGAGAAGCATGTGACCGAGGCAGCGGCGTGGTGGATGGGGCTGAAGGAACTCCCGTCAAAGGAGGAGTGCGATAAGAAATATGAAGAGCTGGAAGTGCTGGCTAAGGTTCATAACCTGGCCCTGATCTAGTGAACAATTCAGTGAGAGTCATAAATGATTGCAACAGCTGAATGTGACATTATTTCCGTGTGTAATTCCGGGCAGGCCTTGCTGGTATCGCTTCCAGAACCCCATTCGTTCATTATAGGATGTAATCTCTTCTTTCTGTTCTGTATTTTGGGCAAGTTCACTGTAGATACAATCGTCATGACGGGGCGTTGAGTTTGGGTGAAGAGCCTCAAGAGGGTGGTATTGGATAGCACCACAATCATCATCCAGAACTGGAATTGAACTTTGGAAGTCGTTGTCGAGCGCATCGGGCCCCGCCCTCGCTCGCGCGGGGGCCGATGCGCTCCCGGCCGCGCGGGGGCCGATGCGCTCGACATCGTGTCTGCTTATCTGGTCCTTGACTCCTTGGTGCTTTGACCGACTTCCCTATGAACATTTTAGGAACCAGTGCTTGACTTTGACTTTGAAAGTTATATTGCTTCCACTACTGGCTGACTCAGAGTATACTACCACTACTGGCACCACTAGTCTCCTAAATGAACCTGACCGTGAGTGTGTCCGTATCTATATGTATCTGCCAGAAATCAGTGTAAAATAAGTCAGAAAAGTCCTAGTGTGATTATACCCTCATGGTTTCTGCCCCATGGTGGTGGTGGAGGATTACCTTCACGAGCATTCACGCCTCAGAGTATGACACTCCAAGTGGTCTGAAGGCTGCATCCATCCATCCATCCATCCATCCATCCATCCATCCATCAATCAATCAATCAATCAATCAATCAATCAACAATTCGCCGCAGCAGGACACTTCAAGTGGTTGAAGGGCTTTTAATTTGGTTTTCAGAGGGCTTCCTACCTAACAACCGCGTACACTCGTTTGACTACTGTCAAGTCATCTGCCCCAAGGCTATTTCTATTCCATATCTCGTCAGGAGAATGGATGGTTCTTGTTAATCTTGTACAATTCGCCCTGTAGCGTTACTTCAAAGTTTCCCTAAGTGCTTGGGGTAATTGCAGAAATAGCGTGTTTTTTTCGAAGTTTCCCAGCAAAAAATATCGTCAGGGTCCAAGAAGTTTCATTGCATAAATGCATCAAAAGTTTCGTTGCAACTTTAGCACCACAGCAAAAGTATCTGTATGGAAACTTCAAAAAAAAAAGCCGCAACGAAAGTTTTTGTAACGTTTTGCTTTAGCAATCCCGGTAGTTTCACAGCAAAAATATCTGCAGGGAAACTTCGAAAAAGCTGCAACGAAAGTTTTTGCTACGAAGGTAATGAAACTTCTACCTAAGCTGCAACCGAAGTTTTTGCTTTTCAAAATTAGCGGTCCCAGTAGTTTCACAGCAAAATAATATCGGGTTAATTGAACTTAATTTCGAAAATATTGCTGTTTCGAAGTTTGGCAGCAAAAATGTCGTCCGTTCGAAGTTTCCTTTGCAAAAATAAATAGACGTCTCGTTGCAGCTTTATCGGGTTCCCGTAGTTTGCCAGCAAAATTACCGCGTTTTGCCCAGTTTCACAGCGAAGGACCCCTAGGCCCCTGGCCTCAGGGACTTAGGGACTCAGCGTTCCGGCCTCAGGGACTTAGGGACTCAGCGTTCCGGCCTCAGGCACTCAGCTTTTCTCTTTTCTTTTTTCTCTTTTTTTTTTTTTCTTTTTTTTTCTTTTTTCTTTTTCGCGGGAGTGGCCGAGGCATCTCGGCCGTGGCCACGCGCCGAGATGGCTCGGCCACGTTTCTTGTCTTTTTTTTTTTTTCTTTTTTTTCTTCTTTTTTTTTTCGCGGCTGTGGCCGNGGCATGTCGGCCGTGGGCACGCCCAGATGCGTCGGCCATGCCCGAGGAAAAAAAAAAAAAAAAAAAAACCCGCTGAGCCAGAACGCTGAGTCCCTGAGTCCCTGAGGCCAGAGGCCTAGGGGTCCTTTGCTGTGAAACTGGGCAAAACGCTGTATTTTTATTTTTGCTGGCAAACTATGGGAACCCGATAAAGCTGCAACGAAACATCTATTTTTGCAAAGGAAACTTCGAACGGACAACATTCTTGCTACCAAACTTCGAAACAGCAATATTTTTGCTATTAACCCTTTCTGCAATCGTCCCTTAAGCAGAAGGCCCCCCTTTTTTTTTTTTTTTGCTTTCCTATCATCCGTAAAATCTCTTTCGCTTGCTTGTTCCCTTGAATATCCTACAAATTCCATGCTACATGTTGACTCCATCAATCGATTTGATTGCTGTCAAATGACCAACCAAACATATGTCCTCCCGCATTCTTCCTCATCACTAGAGTCTCTAAGATACGTCTAAATGGATCTCCTGAATAAAGTGGGATGTGAGGTATGACGAGAAGAAATCACCGAAGTTTGCGATTTGCTTTTGGTGTAGTTAATTAGTGATTCAGAAGTAGTTAAATGATATAGGGGGAGTTGCAGAAAGATCCGTTTCTTGGACTTTTCAAACGAATTCTTCGACTTCTCTAACAGATTTTTCTTTCCATTAAAAAAAAAAAAAAAAAAGAGGAGGGCAACAGCCGTGAGATAGAGTCGTGAAACTGAGTGGGCCTGTGTAATAGAGTAATTTCCGTTCATTTAGTTCCATCTGGATTCAGACCCACGGGTGTATTTCAAAGGTTTGCGGGCTTTTCCAAATCAACTAAACTAGGCCCGTCAGTCTGTGACATATTTCGATTGATAGATTTTGAAACGTCGACTGTGTTAGATCAGAATAATAAGACCAGATACATGGAGGTGGGCAAATCTTTAAGAAAATCAGCAAAATGTAATGTAAAAACAAAACGAAATTCAATTTGGAAACGAACTGAGGATGGCTATATTAGTTGCTGATGCGCTTGCTTGCGTTCGCCTTTTTCCCTCTGAGTGAATACTCACCCTAGCACCTTCGATGACGTATCTGACTGCAAATTACGGGCGGATCTGGATGGATCTGACGGCGATCACGTCCAGAGCGTAGTTTATAAGGTGCTAATGTGACTATGCCCTGAATCCTGTTTCGCCTCATTGGCCTTTACTCGTGGTAACTAGGGGCCGATGAGGCGAAACAGGATTCAGGGCATAGTCACATTAGCACCTTATCAACCACGCTCTGGACGTGATCGCGGTCAGATCCATCCATTCTGCTCCATCTCAAGGTGGGGAAGTTGTACCCTGGACCCGAGGGCCGCGGAATCCTGTCCGCGGCGGGCGGGCGGGCGGGCGGGCGAGTGATATGCTTAAGGCAACTCCGAGCGGGCGAGAGCGCGAGCGGGCGAGAGAGAGAGCGACCGGGCGGGCGAGTGAGAGAGCGGGCGGGCGAAAGAGAGAGCGAGCGGGCGGGCGAGTGAGAGAGCGGGCGGGCGAAAGAGAGAGCGAGCGGGCGGGCGAAAGAGAGAGAGAGCGGCAGGGCGAGAGAGACACCTCGCGCAGTTCGCGCACACACACACACACACACACACACACACACACACACACACACACACACACACAACTCTCGCACTCACACACAGAGGATTCAATCGATCGATATCGATCCAATGGATTCGATCGATTCAATCGATCAATCAGCGATCTGTTTTTCTTTTTTCTCTTTTTTCGTGTGTGTGTGTGTGCGCAGGCGCGCGTGCACACACACACACACACACACACACACATACATTGATCAAATCAATCCGATCGATCATCGATCTTTTTTTTTCTTTTCTTTTTTTTTTCTTGTTTTTTTTTTTCGTGTGCGTGTGTGTGTGTGGGCGCGCGCCTGTGTGTGCGTGTGTGTGCGTGTGTGTGCGTGTGCGTGTGTGCGTGCGTGTGCGTGTGTGTGCGTGTGTGTGCATGTGCGTGCGTGTGCGTGCGTGTGCGTGGGTGTGCGTGGGTGTGCGTGCGTGTGTGTGCGTGTATGTGCGTGTGCGCGTGTGTGGGTGTGAGTGCGGGCCTCGCCACACCACTCCCGACTTGGGAAAATTTTCGGGAGTGCTCGGAGAAGTGAAAACCGTGAAAACCGGCTCGGGAGTGCCTTGCTCCACAGTGCACTCTCGACCCGGCCGCGCTCAAAGTCTGAAAACGTGATTTGCCACATATGGACACAATCAGTGTGAAGCAGTCTGGCAGAAGTCCGTTGTCCCTTCCGGCTCCACTCCCAATTTTGGGATGAAACTCGGAGGAGCGAAGGGGCAACTTCAGTACAGTCACAAAAACGAGTTATAATGGCACTAGTATGGGGCAAGATACACTTTGCAATTGCAGTTCAGGAACCCTACCTGCCTAGAAAGCTGGGTGGTGTACATTGCCCAAACTGCAATTCGAAACTGTATCATGGCCCATACTGCATTTATAACTCGTTGTTGTAACTCCCCATTTTTCTTGGGCCCGTCMCCCCCCTCCCCCCGCCCCACACGCCAACCCCGCCCGAATCCCGCCGCCCCCAACAAGTTACTACCCTTACACAAAAAAAAGTTACGGCCCTTTCACAAACACTTATAAAGCGTTCAGGGTCGTTCAGAGCGTTAAAAAAATGAACCCTGAATGCATGTTCATTGAACGTGCGGCAACACAACAAGTTCGTGCGTTCCAGTTTCATTTTATTTTTTTAACGCGTTGTTGTTGCCTGTGTGTTCCATTTCTGTTCCATTTCTGTTCCTGCGTTCATTGTTTTTTGAACTCATGTTTTGGCCCAAACTGTAATTCGAAACTGTATCTTGGCCCATACTGCAAATATTACTCATTTTTGTCACTCCGGCATAGTTTCCCTTTTTTTTTGGGCCCCTCGCCCCCTCCCCCATCCCCGCAGGCCCCCCCAAACGCCAACCCCGCCTGAATCCCAACCCCCCCACCGAGTTACTACCATTACACAAAAACAAGTTACGGCCCTTTCACAAACACTTAGAAAGCGTTAAGGGTCGTTCACCGCGTTAAAAAAATGAACCCGGGACGCACGTTCATTGAACGAGAGGCAACAAAACAGAAAACAGACATGGAACACACAGGTAACAACGCGTAAAACAAAAAAAAAAGAAGGAACAGAAATGGAACACACAGGTAACTCAGGAACAGAAATTGAACCCACACGTAACAACGCATTAAAAAAAAATGAAAGAACGCAGAAACAGACATGGAACACACAGGTAAGGTAACAACGCGTGAAAAAAAAAAAAAGAACGGAGGAACAGAAATGGAACACACAGGTACCCAAAAAAAAAAGGAGAAAACTACGCAGTCAGGGTTACAGTTTGTAATTGCATTTGAAACTGCGTTTTAGCAGTTTGTTTAGTCAGGGCCCAAGTTTCAATTGCAGTTGAAAAAAGTCGGGCTGGCTTTTTCTAGCAGTTCAGTCAGGCACATGGCCGTTCCTTTCCTTCTTCCTTTTTTTTTTTTCTTTTTTTTTTT